GAAATGAGATTGTTACATCGGAGCTAATTCAATCATGGTGGATGGAAAGGATGGTTACATCAGAGCTAATTCAATCATGGTGGATGGAAATAAGAAAATGAGAACACCTAAAGTGGAAAATTACTTATTATAATGAGAGAGCCTACTGTGTCTTTTTCACCTAAAGTGGAAAATTACTTATTCTAATGAGAGAGCCTACTGTGTCTTTTTCTTTCACTTCACGCATCTGATGAAGTGAGTTGCAACTTACAAAACCTTATGTCCTGATAAAGCTGTTAATCTTTAGGTGCCACTGGATGCCTTGTTCTTTTTGCTGAAACAGGCTAACACAGCTACCTCTGAAACTAGTAATAAAATGATTTGTAGTGCAAGACTGTTTGGATGGATCATATAAGAATGTTTCTTCATTAGGAAAAAGTTATTTTATGTTTTAAATCTAATTTTCATTCTGTTTGTGAGTATGGAAAACTGAAGTTGAAAACACATCATGGTAGTAGATGGGCTGTTACAATCCAAGAAAGTTGATTCATTTAGAACTCAATATATCTTTTCAGTGCAGGGTTTCATTTCCCTTGGAGATTTGTGACAATAGTTCTGCATTGTCTACCCACTTAAGCACTTTTCACAACTAATTAATTAGAGCTATTTTCTGAGCTATTTGGAATACATAGGTAACAAGAAAAACAAAAATGACACTCAGAAGGACTGAGGTATGGGGTGGCTTGTGGAAGTTGTGATAGGGTAAAAAGACTTTCATCTTCTTGGTCTCTGGTTCCTATTCATTTCAGAAAGGTAGTGACCCAAACTGGTACCTTGTGTTAGATATCTGGTGGCCTCTTCAGAATGAATTGAGGGATCTCAGGTTAGTTCCTAGTGAATACTGGTTCATCTTACCAAAATACTATTACAAATTAATTCTGCCAGAGCTTCCATTTAATTCTAAAGCAGACAATATAATAATGCATTTTAATTTTAAAAGTATTCAGAATCCAAAGGCCTCTGCAAACAAAAATGTCATTAAAATAAGAATGTACATTAAAATAAGAATGAGCAGCATCCTTCAGTAAACATACCAGAACTAGTGCAAGATTTTGGGCCCCAGGTGCCCACCTTCTCAAGAGCAGTATTTCCCACAAACTAATAATTAAGCTGGAATGAAAGAAAGCCTTGCCATTTATCAAGGAGACGCGCACAAAGGTGCTTTGACTCAACGTTCCAAACTTGAGGGTCTTCAGCTAGACAGTTCTTCTCCCATCTTCTCAAGGCTGTGCCTCACGAAAGCAAATGGTCTCTCAGGTAGACTAAAGTTGTAGGACCGACTTCTGCCTTCAGATTTGGGTATGCCACTCCGACTACAATCAATAGGAATTCCGCATTCATATCTGTGGGCACAATGAAGTGCTAAAACGTAAGTGTGAAGACCCTTTAGTGTAGGCCAAACTCTCACCTCTCGAGATCAAGAACCAAATACAGCTCGAGATCAAGAACCAAATCAATGTACCTGCTCAGTCCATTAGCTGGCTTTGCTGCAGGCCTGCAAGGTCCTGGGTTCACGTGCCACAAAAGCATTTCAGCTCCTAGTCAATGCTGAAATTGCAGTGCAGTGCTAGATGTGCTGCAGAGGCTGTCCGTTGCATGAGATGTTAATTTGGGGTCAGTTTTTACCCATCTCATGTGGCCATCCTAGTGTAAGGGGATACATTTTTTAAGACCTTGCAAGGCAGAGATGGAAAACTCCATCACTGAATTAATTAAGGACAGACTGGATAAAGCTCTAGAATGTCTTGCTTGTCTAGTGAGGCCTGCTAGCAACTATAGGGAAATGTCCTTGTGCACGGTTGTGGATAGTATCCCTGTTGGGGAGGGAAAGACTCAGGCAATAGGCAGAGGCTGGAAGACCATAATGAGGAGACAGCATGGTTTTGGGTGACAGTGATCTACAAACTCATCTAATTTTTGATCCTGGTGCTATTCTCTCACCGTGCTCTTGTATCCTTTAAGGCTAGTTAGGATCCTGCATTTTGACCGTTGGGAGCTGTAGCCAGGGCTTTTTTAGTGGAGTGTCATTGATTATGAAATTTGGTTTCTTCTCTTCTGTGAGAGCTCAAATGCAAATAGTGAAAATCTGTGTCTCGTTATCCAGGTTTCAGGCTGGATATATTCGAGCGGGGGCAGGCAACCTTTCAGAAGTAGCGTGCTGAGATTTAACTTATGCACTTCTATTTACGGATCTGCGTGACCCCAGACTGAGTCTCTTTGGGCGCAAGGCCTCAAAGGGCCCCTACCTGCATTCTGCATGTGCAGGGTCCTCAGCCCCAGCGCCACCTCCTCCCAGTGCCACTGCGTGCAGCGCAGCCTAAATGCTGCCAGGGAAGGGGACCTCTCATGCGCCATGAGAGCTCGTCCCGCCCATCCAGGCCCCGTGCCGTCCAATCTGCAGCCTGCTCTGCAGGAACAATCGATGTGGACACCCAGTGGCACGTGGTACTTTTCCGTGGAGGGTGGCAGAGCAGAGTGGTGCTCCTCCACGTGTAGCTCTGCGGCCCACGCAAGGATGGGATATGAGCTGGAGCTGCAGCCTCGCAGCAGTCACAGGCTCCTTGCGTGCCATATGTTGCCGACCCCTGTATTAGAGACAATATACTGGCATGTATTTTTAGAATATGCATTTAGGTGCATTAGGACTAGACTGTATTGAATAACTTTTTCGCATTGGTTTAGTCAGTATGTTGTGACCTGTACCACTACATCTTTACAAGTGTAAAAATAAAACCGTTTGTCTCATCGCTAATCCCCTTAGATTAAAGTTGAGCAGTGATTTCTAAACGCCAGCTTTAGTGTTTCTTCATAATAGACCTCCCGCCAAGCTTGCTCAAAGCACAGGAAACAGCACACAAAGCAGATGGGCCAGCAGCAGTGTGCAGATGCAGATATGACATGCAGGTCTTGATTTGGTGTCAGCGAATAACCCAGCAACAGCTCCCGTGAATGTTCTGCTTGGGGATGATGCCGCACAGTAATGGCACAGGAAGCGAGAGAGTCGTACACTAATCACCGTTTCTCAGTTCTGTATTATTGACCTGGCTCCCCGCACCCGCGGGCTCCGAGTTCCTATTTGATTTATTCCCCTTTCAGGTGATTTGCGGAGAGCTTGTTGTCTAGAATTAGAATTGCTCAGTGTTCATGGGTGGGAATTGCTGGAGGATTTTGACTTTCGACAGCCTCTGATCTTAGTATACTTAGAGAAGAGAAAAATGGGGCTTTTCTACCATGCAAAGGTGGCACTGAGTTTTGAGGGAAGACTGCTCTCACTGACATGCTGTTTTACTGGATCTGAAAAGCGCTGGACAAACTGAAGCAATGGAAGCCTTTCTAATACAATGCTGATTTGTAACTGGGGACTCATTAAATAGCAATGCCCATAGTAGCATTTCTAGCCAGTGGCTCTCAGGTATCTGGGCCAAGGGGTCTCCACACATTGTTGCCTATAGGCACCGCCCCTGCAGCCTCCGCTGGCCGCAGTTCCCAGCCAATGGGAGCTGTAGAATTGATGCTTGGGGTGGGGGCAGTGCGAAGAGACCCACCTCCCATCCATGGATCACAGGCACATGCCAGCCATTTCCAGGAGCGGAAGTGCCTGTATCAGAGGCAGCAGTGCAGGGTTGCAGGGGGCTCCCCAGGAGTGGTGCCAGAGTGCACTCGCTGTCAGATCCACCCCCGGAGACTATTGAATATTTGAGTAACCGCTAAGAATTCATGTGGTTACTCGACTGTTCATTTACCTGATAGCTAACATCCCTAACCATGACCCATCAAGTCATACTGGGTACTGGTTCAGTATTTTATTAGTCTGATTTATTATACGGATTTCCACAGCTCCTAGGAGGCCTATCAGACCACAACCCTCGGTGTTGTACAAACTCAAAACACAGACAGACCCTGCTCCGGGAGCTTATGTTCAAATAGATAAGACAGATGCAGGACAGGGAAAGGGGATTCCACACACATGGAGTAAATACTGTGATGGTAGCAAATGTCATGTTAGTTCCATGATTTTGGGGGGAGGAGAGGAGACTGTGAGAGAGGGAGTGGGCTGGAGCAAACAGCTGCTCAGCCCAAGCCACAGAGAGTCCATCCAAAACTGTAGAGAGTTGGAGGGAAGTCCCAGGGACCTTGCTTTGGCTTTTCTGCCTGGGCCAAAAACTTCCATCTCCACTGGCACTATTGGTGGCAGCTGGGCAGAAAAGACTGAATTGGCCTTGAGAGTGAAACCCAGCCATCCTAAAAGTGTCCTTCAGGGCCGGGCTGAAGGACCGCAGTAGAGTGTGTTGGGATGCTTGCTCTGCCATGCTCCATGCTGTCTCCGGGTTTGGATAAATGCCGGGCTTACATTCTCACAGCTGCTAATCCAGCAGTTTGAAAAATGGGGACATTCCCTTTAAAATTCGTTTTTTCTGTCTTGAATGTTCAACCCTACATAGTAATAGAGAGGTAGCCGTGTTAGTCTGATCTTGCTAAAACAAAAGGGAAAACTATGTAGCACTTTAAAGACAAACAAGATGGTTTAATAGGTGATGAGCTTTCGTGGGCGGGTCTGGCCCACGAAAGCTCATCACCTATTAAAGTCTAAATAAACATTGTCTCATTGTCCGAGGTGCTGAGAGCCCCAGTCTCTCCCGTTCATTGCCATGGGAGTGAGTAGCTCTCCACATCACATCTCTTCACACACTCAGCTAGTATGAAGAACTCCGAAATCAGAAATCCTTCTTTCCTTTTTGAAATGTAGACAGCTCAGCTGAGGTTTTATTTAGTCTTCTAATTTTGAACACAGTTGCTTGTATGTGTTTTTCCAGCCCACAATGAATGTTTGCATCCAAATTACTATGTAAATCCCTGAAAATAGGTTTTAATGATAAGGATGCTGACAGACTCATGGTGGATTGATAAAGTGTCTTCCGGTGATAAACTTATCTCAAGTACAATTCCTGTTTGTGCTACAGATCTCAACTCTCTGAGCATTCATCAGACACAAAAGAAGACCTGATGGAACCAGGATCAGCGGAGAAACTGGAACATGAGATCAGCAAAAATCCAGAAGCCAGCTTACCCTCCCTCTGTCTCAAGCAAGTGTTTCCAAAGTATGCCAAACAGTTCAACTATCTGCGACTGGGGGACAGAATGGCTGCATTGTTTATCCGATTTCTTGGAGTAAGAGGGATAATGAAGTTGGGACCAACAGGTTTCCGAACTTTTATAAGGTCAGTGACTTGAAACTCTCTTTGTGTATGTCTACACTTGCACCCTAGTTCGAACTAGAGATGCAAATGTATGCATTCGAAATAGTCAATGAAGCGGGGATTTAAATATCCCGCGCTTCATTAGCATGATCTCGCTGGCGCATTACTTTAACAGCTGTTTCGAACGTGAAAGTGCACGCATTAGGGATGCATTAGGTCAAACCAAACTGCTTGGTTCGAATTAGCGTTACTCCTCATTTTCGGAGGAGTAACGTTAGTTCGAACCAAGGGGTCCTGCCGCTCACTTTCACTTTCGAAACAGCTGTTGATCGGAGTAACGCGCCAGTGAGATCATGCTAATGAAGCACGGGATATTTAAATCTCCGCTTCATTGACTATTTCGAATGCCTACATTTGCATCCCTAGTTCGAACTAGGGTGCAAGTGTAGACATACGTGTAGAGTATCGTAAAAATGTAGTAAAGGATTTTAGATCTCCCAGACCTATCCAATAGCACTGCTGTTCTTGTGTTCATGTAGTAGAGTAGTCAAAACCAAAGAGAACATTTCCCTCCAAATCCCACTGAACAGTTGCACACTCTTGTGTATTTTTGTTCTTGTCATTGCTGATTAGTGAGGTAACTTCTGTAGTATGCACGTGTATTTTTCTTTTTTTATAGTCAGTACTGCTCATCATCCAGTATTAGAGAACATGCTTGTTTGCAAGGCAGCGAACTGTGTTGTCACAACCTTGGGATTGTGTGACACCTACTTGCATTCTTGTTAATAGGGACAAAAAGAGAGGTCGCATTTTTCACAATTTGCCTTGGTATTTAACAAGGAAAGAAAAGGAAATGGCTGATAGGTGACACTGCCATTGTCAGCTATAGAAATTGTTGTGATTCCTTAAATTGAGGGTTGTCTCTTTAAAGGAACAAGCACTGTGAGCAGAAGGCCTCAAAAATCAAATCCTGGGTATTTTTTTCATACCAATGTCCTTTGATGTAAATGAGGGAAGAAGAAATTGCGTAAGCATCCGAGCTATGAACAGAATGTTACTAAGCAGAATGTTTTTCAAAATTCAGCAATTCAAAAGCTCTTCAGAATGAAAGGACAATGTGGTAATCTTTCTGTGCTTATCTGTCTATGCCATTTGATATAGCTGAGTTTCCAAAGCTGTTTGGCTGGTAAATTTTGTGTTTTGTAGTTGCTCTTGCTAACAAGCCTCTCTCTGTAGGCAATTTTTGTTTTAAATTCTGCCTCATTATGAGCTCATGTTTTGATCATATTTCCTCTGAAAATAAAGTAGATGTCATCTGCAGGGGCAAGAGAGAGGTTAGTTGCACTATATTCTGGGACACTGAATTCTACTCTTTACTTCTACCTCCCAAAACAGAGTGGGAAAATAAGCATAATAGATTCTGTCTTAATTGATTTGCACAGTGTCCATCTCTTGAAATGTGCTATACGAGTCAGCAGTTTACTGAGTGAATTATGCTAATACCTGGCAAACCACATATTTTTTTCCTTCTGGTAAAAGGGGGACTATGCATGCATTTATCTCCTCTTATTAACTATGTAAACCCTTCCCCTAAATCATTACCTCAGTATTGCCTGAGAACAGAGTGTGTCAGCATTTATTAAGTACCATTTTTGTAATTGATGGTCGTGTACTTGCTGTCTGTGACAGTGGCATGAGCTGTCATCAGAATTGCTCTGATGCCACAAATTGAGGATTATCCATTTGGCCGGGGAGCAAGCTGGAAGAGCAGAAGGGCTCTTGTTTCATATGAC